TGTAATGAGGCTTTTTTTTTGTCGCAGTGTAAGAGAAATATATATATATATATATAGATGATTATTATCTCTCCTCACTACCCTAAAGCCAAAAGTCTTAGTCGCCCAAGGGCACACATTATGCGATGAAAAAGTCAGATGCCCGCTTTGCGGGCAGGCACTCTGTACAACTATATATCTAGTCTAGTCTAGATGATTATTATGGTGTCTTAATTTTATGTTTTGACTTTTATTTTTTTACAACTACTTTAAATATATTATTATGTCGCCAATTAACTTAGGTAAGAATGATTTTTAGAACTGGTAAAAACTACTTTTTTATACTTCTGATACTTTTATGACGTATTTATATTAATTTAAAAATTCCTATTTAAAGAAATCAATTCTGAAATTTACGTGAATTGATTTTGTAGATGAAAACTCGTATTAAAATATTGTCCTTTAAATTAATTAATTATTAATTTCATGAATTGAAAAAAAACCGCATTATGAAGAGAAAGAAATTAATTTCATAATTAAATGGCCAAATTTATTAAAAACGTTTCTTTTAGTTTTCATACATTTTTTCATTAAATCACTTTCGGATCCGTGAAGGGGAAATTTTGCAATCGAAATTTTGACCGCTTTCCAACTAGCCGATGCATTCAAATATCGTTTTGTAGTACTATACCTGGTAATTAAGGTTTTAATGGTATCATTATAACTACAGGACTTTAGTCACCAAATAGTTATTAGTTATTAGTTCATCAAAATTTCGTATCATTTTTCGCTGTCAGCCATATTTCGCGCTTTCTTTTCAGAGACAGAGGTTTAAATTTAATCAGCTGCAACTTTTGGCGAGACATGTCTGATGATGGGGAAAAAATTAGTGTATGATGTCTGATAACGCTATTGGGAAAGCATTGTCAGTAAGAAGATTTGAAATCATCAAGCACTTTGATGAACTTAGTACGGTGTAGAATAATTCACAGAGAATAACCTTAATAATTTAAATTAGAATAATTTAAATTAGAGATCGTCCTAATGTACTGAGGGTCTATTCACAAATATCAGAGAAGATTCCAGAAATTCTTGTCCATTGGAGCAATTTTGGTAGAGAAATTCTACAGCTTAGATTCTAGCTACAGTATAAACGCTTAAAATCAGTTATTTTAATATTATCTATTTTCGTATATTATTTATTTTTATATTTATCTCAACTTAAAATTTAAAAAGAAGTATTGAAAGAAAGAAGAATGTTATCTTCAGCTGATTTCGTTTTTTGTTCTCAGAATCATAATTTAGCTCACAATTGCAATAAAATCCATTAGTTAAACTTAAAGTATGAAATTAAAATCTATAACGTTGTGCTATGTTTTTGAATCGGGAGCATAGGGTTATGCAATGTGGTTTGACTTACACAAGGAAAGGTAAATTTTGACAAAAGGGGTCAAGAATATTTTTTTTATAAAAAAAGTGGGTCTACATTATTAAAGTGTTCCAGAGGCTCGTCAACGCAGACGACGGGATCGACAATACACCCTTTCCAAATTTAATTAATTTGTTATTTAAAATAATTTTATTAAAGAATAAATGTAACCTTAGAAACGTAGCCAATGTGCTAAGGAGGCAAATGAAAAAATCCCCAATATCCGCAGCATTATTTCCTTTCTTCGCTCATTATACTTTTCCATCCTCACGCATAAAATTTTTAACATTATTTAATCGTCCACCATCTAGTCGCTTGTCAATTTTAGTAATAGATGTCAACTACAGTGATTCACGACAGTTAAGTCAAGCAAATAATCAGAAAGAAGAAAATAAAGCAAAAAAATCAGAAGGAAGAAACTGTCTGCTACAGTGATTCACGACAATTAAGTCAAGCAAATAATCAGAAAGAAGAAAATAAAGCAAAAAAATTGGAAGGAAGAATAGCTGTCTGCTACAGTGATTCACGACAGTTAGTTCAAGCAAATAATCAGAAAGAAGAAAATAAATCAAAAAAATCAGAAGAAAGAATAGCTGTCTGCTACAGTGATTCACGACAGTTATGTCAAGCAAATAATCAGAAAGAAGAAAATAAAGCAAAAAAATCAGAAGGAAGAATAGCTATCTGTCTGCTACAGTAATCCACGACAGTTAGGTCAAGCAAAATAATCAGAAAGAAGAAAATAAAGCAAAAAAATCAGAAAGAAGAATAGCTGTCTGCTACAGTGATTCACGACAGTTAGATCAAGCAAATAATCAGAAAGAAGAAAATAAAGCAAAAAAATCGGAAGAAAGAATAGCTGTCTGCTACAGTGATTCATGACACTTAGATCAAGAAAATAATCAGAAAGAAGAAAATAAAGCAAAAAAAAAGGAAGGAAGAATAGCTGTCTGCTACAGTGATTCACGACAGTTAAGTCAAGCAAATAATCAGAAAGAAGAAAATAACGCAAAAAAATCAGAAGGAAGAATAGCTGTCTGCTACAGTGATCCACGACAGTTAGGTCAAGCAAATAATCAGAAAGAAGAAAATAAAGAAAAAAATCAGAAGGAAGAAAAGCTGTAGTTTAACGAAAATGAAAAGCGTATGTAATCTGATTTTTTTAGTGTTGAAAAAGTTACTCCAATGCTGTATAATCTGAGCTCTTTAAAATTATCACATTAATATAGTAAACATTTAATTATAATAAACATTCATTCGTTTCGATAATTTTCTTGCAGGTAGGAATATGTCGCCAAATTGACTACTCTCAAAATGTTTAATTATTTTCCCAGATAGTTCTTTACGACAAGATGATATACATAGTTTATAATTTCAGCTTAAACTGTGATTTTTTTTCTTCTTTTTTGTTTTCTTTGGTGAAAGAACTTCAAATAACTTTGTTAATATATGCAGCTATTACTCAGAACACATACGACTCTATATTAAAAAAAGTAACCTTAACCTATCATTAGTACTACTTTGCTTACGTTTTTTAAGTTGTAATTCTCAAACACAATAAGTATTTTTAAAAAAAACACTTACTCAAAGAGGAAATCATCAAAATTATGGTTCCAAAAAACATCGGAATTGAGGACCCCAATCTAAAAAAAAGAAGTATGATTCAGCAATGGTTTAGTTAAATAGATTACACAAGATCTATTTGAAGTGAGTTGCAAATGATCGTAATTTTAATCGACTCAATCGTTCGTAATTTGTATCACTTTATGTAAGTAAAGGGCTTCAGTTTTGCTTATGTACTTTTCAAAAAACTAAAATAACATTTTCTACTATTTCAATGATCAGGACAAAAAATTAGAAAGAAAAAATAATGTAAAGACTGATCAAAACGCGAGAGGTCACATTAAATTGCGCAACTTCCGCGTTATTTTACATACCTACTGAAACTTTAGCTTTTCGTAGCATACACCTAAAAATTATTAAATCAACTAAAATTTTAAACAACGATAAAAAAAAATTACATTTTTAATTAATACGAAATTATTGTTATTTGAGTACTAACTATGAAGTAATAATGGGTCAGTTACCCGACAAGAAGTTTTTGGAAACCTGTTCTGACGATGCCGTTCGAAAACTGACTGCAAAGCTAAATCCATTTTCATCTTAACCCTTTAATGGGCCCTTTATTTCTAATAAAGGTAAATTAAAGTACTTTTTGGAATTGAAATTGCTTTAAGAACAGTAATTGATATTAAAAAAAAAACTCATTTAGTTTATAAAAATGCCATTTTTNTTCTATTCGTAAATTTGTAAATAATTTAAAATATTAATTTCAAATTAGATAATTCTAATAATTAAAATGTTTTGTTAATTTTAGAAAATAACGAAAATGTGGTATCGAATTGTTCTGATGAAGAGTGTGATTTTGATGATTTGAAAGATCCAAGCTTTTGTTTTAAGAAATGATTTTAATATCGATGCAGAATGGCACTTTTTTGCCACTTCTCCTGGCAAAGGGGCATGCGATGGTATTGGTGGGACGGTGAGGAGGGAAGCAAGAAAGAGTATTTTGCAAACGCAAAATATAACAACACCTAAAGAATTGTTCGATTGGACATGTAAATTTTTTGATAATATTCAGTTTGACTTCTGCACAAAAACTGAACATGAGAATGAAAAAAAAATTGGAAGCAAGATTTAAGAAAGCTTCAACAATTAATGGAACTAGAGAATACCATACTTATTTAGTTGAAAATTTTGAAACTCTCAAATGTAAAATATATTCTTCTAGTTCCAAGTTTGAACTCAAAAAATTATGTAAATAAATTATAAATAACTAATTATTCATAATATTATTCACCTAAAATTATAAATTTATTATTTAATATAATGTTTGTTATTTTGTGAAACTTTAGTTGAGGTTTTTAAATTCCCTCCTAATTAACTAATACAGCGCAATTGAGCGATCAGCGGTATGGAGTGGCAGAGCGCGCCGCGGTGCAGCGCTTCGCGAAAAAAGCTATAACCTTTCATGGAATTGCGATCCATTTTTTTTTTTTGAAAAGCCGTTTTGTTCAGAATAAAATTTACCTCAAAATGAGTTTTGTTCGAACTTTGTACGACATTAACAACATTTTTGTTTTTCATTTTACAACTTAATTTTGTAACAAAAATTAAAATTTTTAAACATTTGTTTTATTATAATTATTTTATCAAAAACTTCAATTATTTCCGCGCAAAATGAGATACATTTTTTAAAATCCATTCATTTTATCCTTAGATTTTTATTTTTTAATTAAAAAGAGCCTTAAAATTTAATTGTTCATATCTTGTAAAATAAATTAAATAAAAAGAAATCGTTTTGGGCTATTGTTTTGTATAATATATNGCACACCCTCGGTCCCTACGCAGACTAATCCAAGTGGTCACCCACCCGCACACTGACCGCATGCTTGACTTCGGTGATCTGATGGGAACCGTGTCTTATCGATCAGTCCACTGCGGGACTCTCTTTTGTTATAAGCGATTTTGTATAAAATTCAAAAGTCAAACTTTTTATTTTAATAGAATTTATTTTTCAACACTTCACCGGCACTATTTTGTATCCCTTTTTCATTGAAATAAAGATTCATATAAAACATACATTTAAAGAAATTGAGAATTTTATAAGTGCAAATCGCTTTCAGTAGGAATGTTCCCTGAGTAAAATATTAGTTAGTTAATCCCTTATGAGACAAATATCAATATTTTTATATATTTCATACTGATAGTGAATACACACATTATTCTTTAAAATCGCGTTTGAAAACACTGCAACAAAAATATTTATTTATTTCAGTTTTTGGTAAAATATTCCTTAAAAAAAAGCCATATCTATACGTTATTAAATTTTCCAATATTTTTATTCTGTATTTTCTTCAAGGAGCACTAGGACTGATGGTAAACTTCGAACATCCATTCAGTCATAACATAGTATAAGCGTTTTCTATTTTATCCCAAAAATTCTTACTGGTTCCTCCAGATTGTCTCTAAATAATTGGGAGAGTTGAAAAATTGTTTGGCCAAGTGTTAAAGAAGAACAGGTATGTTGGCTGAAATTACTATTAGATCAGTGATAATTTCACATCTCCACAATCTTTATCAATTTTATCGCGTTCACGCCGGGGTGACCCACCGGTGAGTCACGCTAGATTGTCTCATCTTGGCAGCGCCTCGGAGTAAAAACTGGTAACAATAAATTTCCTTTTTTAGATTTTTTCCGGGAATAATAAAAATTCATAACTAACAATTGTTTTTAACGGATGCAATTTTTACATTGAATTTCTTCTTCGCCGTGATAAATTTCCTTACAGTGAATTGTTATTGTTGAGAATAAATTAACTCCTCCCGAATATTATCTAATATTGAAATAGATCTTCTACCAGTATTTTCTCTTTTCCCGTACCAGTATTTTCACTTTTCCCGGCGTGAACGTGTTAAGGAAAGTATATCAAACATACAGACCATTATCTACTACCTAAATTACCACTAGATTCATAATAATTTTTTAAAAAAACTTCCATTCACAGCATGTGGCTCTCTACAGATTTTAAGGTTAATTTTTTAAGTCATACAAATCATAAACTACGACATAAATTACTACTGTGTAAGTAAACAAATGCAGAGAGCTATCGCTTGCAGCGCTTCGACCAGTTAAGGCTGTTTTTTAAAAGGCTCGGTCGTAATATGAAATCATGCTGTTTAGCGAATAATGTGCTATTTTTATAACTGTTGTGAGTTTGCAGCTGTTTCTTATGACTGTTGAGGTCAAGTTTAGTCTATCTAAAGCCAGCGCTGTTCACGCTTAATTTGAAAATGGCTCAAAATGGTAAATAAAAAAAAATCACAGTTTTGTGAAAATGTAAAACGCTTTTGGTGTAGTTTTTTATTATTTAAAAACTTTATCGATTGTTGCTGTACCTATCTGTGCTGCGTCTCATGTTTCCCAACAATATCTTCTAGAAAATATCACCCCAAACTCTATTCACAATAAAGACCCATACGACAAGATGAATAGAAAAAGAGCTAATACGTGACCTCATACTCCCAGCTCCAATTATGTGAATCAGAATAAATGCTTGCCTGTGTCTTTTTTCGTCTTGCAAAGCGCAACAATTTTTCCGCAATTTTATTGATGCATAAGTAGGAAAGATATTGCGGAATGTAGTAAACGTTGCAAATTTACTGGAAAGAAGAAGAAAACTTTTTTTAGAATTTTTAAATTATTGTGTTAGTTTTATCCGCGTTACACAATCAATGTCTATTTCGGAAATGTTCTATGACGAGAACTTAAATGTAAAGTTTTAATAACTACCAATAAATTTAATAATTGTTTTATGATGATATATATTTAAACAAAAATGCATCTTTGGTTTGGCATATACAATTGGCTAAAAATATAAATTTTTCAATATGTACACAATTTACGTATCTACCAGTATATTTTATCATTCTAATTTATAACTATTTATATTTTAATCGATACTTCATGAAGGCTCCTTCTTCGCAAACTTTGCATTAGTTGACATTAAGAGAATGATGCTCGCCAACCTAGGCGAGTGACATACTCGTGTTATAGCAAATATAGATTGTATTTAAGTTTAACTTAGTTTTTAATTGTTTTGAAAGCATATTTGTATGATTACTTAATTCTATACTGCAATGGTCTTTTCTCAATTGGGGACAGAGTAATAATCGCGCTAAAGGATTACATTCATATCTCCGACAGCTCGCGTTGCCGACGTAATGACTATGCTGACACGACTATCTCGCCGACACGATCAATTTTCCGACATGATTATTTCGTCGGTACTATTATTTCAACAGCGCGATCCCTTCACCGACTACTCAATTCGTCGGCATTATTTCGCTGACATAATTGTTTCAATTGTATTTTCAAGCAGACCTCTTCGTCAGTTAATTATTCAACTTTTTTTTTTCTACTCTGAGAAACTTTTTTTATAAAGAATTATGCAATATTTAGCGGAAATCGTAATTATTAAAGAGCAACAAGAAAACCCTAACAGATTTTCCTTACTCAGATCCGGGAGAACAATTTCGAGATCAGGACTTGATTATCAAATTCCATTTTCCTTTGCTCGGTGTCTGAACATCATCTCCTACATCAAGAAGCCTCCACACGGTCTTTTATAAGTAGTCCGCGCAGACTGTTTAAAAAGTGAACCAGTTGTGCGCATGAACCCAAAACCTTTGATAAAAGCATACCCTCCAACTGCTACGGAATTTCCGTAGTTTCAGAAATCTTCTTTTCTGACGGTAGCAAAATTAATGTATGGCTAGATTCTTAAATTCTGATAAAAGTTTTATGAGAGATCCATTTGCTTTAAAAATTTCTACTTTGGTTCGCTACCACTAGAAAGAATTATTTTCAAAATCCTCATAAGTTGGAGGGTATGTAAAAGGAATTGAGAGAAATTTATCTTATATATTTGAGAATTGAATCTGTAGTGGTTGACAAATGAATAAGGCAAACCAATAATATTCATAAATAAAATAAATTTTAGTCATATATTTGCTACCACTTTCTTTTTTTAACTATATTCTGTATTAAATCACTCGTTCGGTAAGTGGATATCCTGATTGC